AGATAGATAGATAGATAGATAGATAGATAGATAGATAGATAGATAGAGTGAGTGAGTGAGTGAGTGAGTGAGTGAGTGAGTGAGTGGTGGGATTCAAATTTTTTACTACCGGTTCTGTAGGTGTTGCTTGGTGGGTGTGGTTTGGTAGGCATGGCAGGGGAAGAATACTGTAAAATTTCCATTCCCTCCCCACTCCTGGGGGAAGGTTATTGCAAAATCCCCATTCCCTCCCCATCCCACTAACCTGCTTTCCAGCTCCGTTCTCCTGTGCATGGCAACAAAAGAAGACCCAGCCAATCAACAGCCACTCGGGAGGCAGAGAATAGATGGGGGTGGGGCTAGTCAGAGGTGGTATTTGCCCGTTCTCCGAACTACTCAAAATTTCTGCTACCAGTTCTCCAGAACTGGTCAGAACCTGCTGAATACCACCTCTGGATGGATGGTTGGATGGATGGAGAGAGAGAGAGAGAGGGGAGAGAGAGAGAGATGCCTCTCAGAGTTATTTCTTGTGAGATGGATGGTGATATACATTTGATTAATAAACATATATAATAAAATAGTTTCAATCCAGCCCCTTCAATCTAGAATAGCTCTGATCTATAGATCACATAATTTGTCCTACATTTCTATAGTGAGATTTGAAAAGTATCAATTCTACATAATTGCTAGCACATCTTCTTGAAAATATGCATTTATTGGAAAAATGGATGACTGAGAGAGAACTGGAAAAGCTTGGGCATGTCTTTTCAGAACAGGTAAGGAGCCGATTGAATGTGGTATAATATTAAGACATCTCTCCTCAGACATTACTATTAAAAGCCCATGTATCTATAATAAGGAGGGAAAGACATATATTAAACTGTAGCCTACACAAGACAGGAATTTGGGAGAGATCACATCTACTTATTCCCTTTTATTTATCTGCCTTTTGGATTAAGAGTATTATAGGATTAAGTGTACAAATCTCAGATACAATTTTCCTGGCTGCATATATTTCTGACTTGTATCACCCAGGAAGGAAAGAGCAACATCTGAAATGGCAAAGGAGAGAATGGATACTAGTTAAAATGGGAAGAGGGTGCTGATTGCATACAGGTAGTTTGCTCAATACAAGCCAATCTTGGATGATAGGAATAAAATAACAAATACTGTGCGAGACTATTCCCTGCATTATTGTTTATTGCAGGAGTAGCAGCACAACGGGGTTACACGCTTATGCAATACAACTACCAGTAGTAGCAGTATAATACCACTAGCCTATTTCTAGCCTATTTTCCTAAGAAGTGGCCGTGTATGGTGGGTATTTTCCAGATCAAAGACATAGCTGAAATTTGAGGGCCAGGGTTAATTATTCCTATTGTGGAGGTTACTCAATCCATCTCTGTAATTCAGAGTTGAAAAAAAAAAAAGTCTTAATTCATTTTGCAACTAATCAATCCACCTTCCCTTTGCTTTTAGCACTATGGGAAGAAGAGAGGGAGCAAGTTCCAGCTTTTCTTTCCAGCAACAGGATTATCTATGTGCCAACGAAGTAAGCCTATCCTCCCTTCTGCAACAATAAATGACATGTAGATTTAGAACCGAGAGGTTTTGTGTTATGTTGCCACAATCCCCCTGCACCGGTTTCCTCCCCCCGAACACCGGGCCATTTCCTTTTTAAGAGCTTGCCAAAAAAAAAAAAAAGAAAATCTAAAAGGGAATGAAGCACAAAAAGAAAAATCTAGCCCCTTTTAAATTGCAATTCTGCCTGCCTGTCTCTTTTTAATCTGCACCCAAAGCCCAGGATCAGAGGCTGACGTCATCCTGCCCCTGAGCCTCCCTCTCTGATTGGCTGAGGATGACGTCAGGTGCTTTTTTTCAAGGCATGACCTAATCCTCAGTTCATTTTTAGTTCTAAAGTGCAACCTTCTGTCTTCCTGGATCCTTCAGCCCTGTTTAATGCTTATCTGTGCTATTTACCCCCCACCCCACTCCACCCTCCCCACATACACAGCGCGCGCGTGCCCGCCCGCCCGCGTGCCCGGTGCGGGAATATGCCTGCTCCCTAGTTCGCGGCTGGCATGATGACCGCAGTTCGGTGTGGCTGCGTGTTTGTGTTTGCAAAAGGCTAAGAACTTGACTTCTCAGCGCTTGCCCAAGCCTTTCCAAGCTGTTCCCACCAGATCCTCTCGTAATTGTGGTTTAATCATCCTGGCGAATGTGCAGCAATTTTGCAACTAGTCGGAGCGCTGCAAGGGCTTTGATCTTGGGCTGCGGAGGAAGTGCCAGGCGGGTAAGTGTTCCCAACGTATTATAAGGGGTTGCCTCGCATGGGAGCTGGGAAGAGTAGAGCGGGGGCTTCATCATCCCCGCACAGCACTGCAGGACCAAAGGTATTTTGCGGGTCTGAAACCCTGTGGGAACCTGACAAGGATTTCCCCTTCATGTACTGCAACGCCTTCCACATCAGGACCCAAAACGCCGCCTCCTGCGTGCCGCAGACGGAAACGGGGATGAAATGTGGCTGCAGAACGGTTTTTGTTTAATCAGCGGCGGTGCGTGTGAATTTGGTCCGCCGCCGTTGTTGTTGTTGTTGTTTCTCCCCTGTAAGAGGGAAGTTTGTTCGGGCGGGGGCAGGTCCTTTGGTGGCGGAGTTTGCGTGTGCGCGTTTAAATGCACAATTGCTGCAGGATCGAGTAAGGGACGCTCTTGCGGGCATTCGCAAATCCGCAGCAGCGATAGCGGTGATGCGGAGAAAACAGACCTGCAACCAACCCATCGCATATTTATGACGTGGGTTGAAGTAAAAGGAGGATTAAAGGCGGGTGGGGGGAGAGGGAGGGAGGGAGAGAGAGAGAGAGAGAGATTATACCCGGGGTCTGAAGGTGTTACTGGTAGGGGATGATATGTATATTGCGTAGCCTGTACTCCTTCTTTATTGTCATTCATGTCGCGAGGCTTGAAAAGAAAGCCCCAAGGGTGACGAGGTTCACGCACACTCTTTTGGGATGCTGAAATGTGAAGGCTCTGATGATCTTGGGAAGTGGGGGTGGTTTCATAAGGGCTGGCGGGGCTCCTGATGCTACGAAGAGTTTGCTCACCCAACCACCCCCGCCTCCCCGAGACTTGGCGATAGGGAATCAGCCCTGTGCAAAGTTTCAGTTGCTGGTGTCTTTAGCAGAACAGCTAAGTCAATACATGGTGAATTAAAGAGAGTTAAAAGCCCTTCTGACCACAAAGCATTTGCAGTCAGGGCTCCTGCCAGCAACCATGTTTGTACTGTGAGTCAGCGCTTGGCTACTCCAAAACACGGGCTTGTTGTAACCCCTGTTTAGGAGCAAAAGGTTCTTACTAAGGGTCTGCACCCCTACTTGTCTTGCACCTAGTTCCACAAAGCCCAGGGAGAAACTTCTTTCATGGTGGGCCAAAAAAGGAAGTCTGCTAAGGTTTGCATACAGTATCTGGGCCAGGTTGAAATCCTTCTTGTAAGAAAGAGTAATAGTGGTGGAAAATTGGGATACTTAAAGAAAAGATCCTGGTTCAGGTACTGTATTGTGGTTCTACAACAACCAGGCCTTTTCAGCGTGGTTTTTTTTTTTTTTTAAATAATAGAGCTGCCTTTATTTCCGTTTTACTAAAGGTGTGATGTATGTTTGTTTCATAGCATAGTTCTCAGCTTCATAGTCTATAAACTGAAGTATTGTTTTTGATCAATTTGTAACCTTAGAATGAATAACAAATAATTCCTAAAATTCTTCAACTCTTTAATTGTATATTCGTTTTTGCAGAAACCTCACTGAACTATGAAAAAATTGCAGAGGGGAAGCCCCATATTAACTGGATTTTGCAAATTAGAATTTAGCTGGGACATGCTTTCAAAGTACCATGATTTATTTTTTAGAACTGTAGAACATCTAAGGAATTTAAAACCTCTCCAAACCTACAAGAGAAAGTAGGCTCTGAAGTAGTAAAGGGGAATAGGGATTTGAATCTTGATTCAATGTCTATGTGAGCAGGTGGTTAAGGAGTTGAAATGGCACCAGAAAGACTAGTCGTACAAACTCAGTGGATAATTTTCAAGCCAGCCATGTTCTCCATTTCTGTCTGTCTGTCTTGGTGAAGACTACCTTACTAGTTCATTGTTCAGAAAAGTAAGAAGAAGGACCACTGTGGAGGGTCCCTTGAGCTTCAATGAAAGGCTGGATAGGACTGTAATCATTCAAGCTGCTAAATCGAAGTGACTCTGAAACATGATTTAATGCCTGACCCTGATTATACTGTCTTGACGTAGAAAAGACAGAAAGAGTAAATGAAAGAAAATTATTTTGAAACCCAACATGCATTTTGACCTGTGTAGTTTAACTTACATATTTCATATTTGGACATATCAAAGCGCACTTTTAGTGCTATTGGTGAAAAAGCCCTTTGTCAGGGAACTTAAAGAGCCTTGCACATCCAAACCAGGGAAGTGTGCTGAGCAGGCAGCAGTGAGGAATTTGATGGGTCAGCTGACTCATTTTGCATGTGAACGTGCAAGCCTGAATGAATTTATGTATTATTTGTCTCTGCGCAATTCTACGTATTTGTCCAGTGAGCATGCATGTATGTGAAAAGGTATGATGGAGTAAGAAGCTTTTAGCTACACTGGTCTAATTGCATTCTGTTTGTCTTTCTGAATACTTGCAATCAACCGTTATTAATTATTATATAATCTACACACTGGCATATATATTTGCCAAGGGCTACCTACCATGTAGCCTTACTCTATTCCATTCATAAAGTCCCAAAGGGTTCAGGGGATTCCATACAGGAGAGCAGCCCTCCTCTCTCTCAGTCCTGTTACAGATGTGGCTTGCAAAAGGCAAAGCTTTGTTGATGCTTCCCATTCTCTGCATGCTCACCTCCCTCCTCCCCACCTTTCCTTATAATCTGTCGAGAGGAGCATACGATCTTTGATTGCTCAGGCAGGCAGGTAAAAATGGTGGGTCGGCTGGAGAACTGTACATTGGAAAAAAGCCACGATTACGGTATTCAAAAGGCAATGCAATATTGGTATAATTTGAAGGGAGGGTGTATGTATGTCGTGATTTACACTTCATTTGCATGCAGTCTCAGTCACCAGGGTGGCAATGTATCTGTCAGGAAGGAAGGCTTGACCAAGAGAAATTGCCCCAGTTCCAAAAAGAGTCAGACCTAGAATGTGTACGGAAGAATTGAATCATAAGAGACAAGGGGTATCCACAGGTCTCGCTGCCTCCCCTGCAGAATATTCTGGCTAGGCAAGAAATCCATTTTCCTTTGCAATAGTATATCTTCTCCTGGTAAACATTTCCTAACTTTCAGTTTGATGCTGTCTGTGGCAATCAAAGGCCCAGTCAGTTGCTAGACAAAGGACAATCTAGAGGCATTTTTATTAGTGTGCATTTCTTTTGTAGCAATGAACAGCATATTTTATAGCAAGGGACCTTGAGCATTTAGATTCTAACTAAAATAAGTCTGAACAAAGGTGGAACAATAGAAGAGAAAACATAATCCGGAATGACGCCATACACATAAAATGAGGAGGTTGAGTTTGGATCAATTCTTTTCCTTTGAACAAAAATCCAATTTTTCTTAAGCAGAGTCAAGTAGTTTGGTTTTTCATTGAGAAATATTTGAACCAACATAGAAACTGGAATACAATCAAGCACCCTAAGCAAACATTTAAAATAAAACCTCTTTTTTCTCAGGCAAAAGAAGGAATTCTAGCCATGTTGGGCTATGAGAAAAATGTAGATTCCACAGTTGGGTAATATATCTTTATTTGGACAAAGCAAAATAGCATCAGCATGATAGTTTTGTGGTATCTTCTCAGTTCTTCAGAATATAAAATAACAATAACCACCACAATAATAGAAAATAGCGAAAGGCAAAGATCTGCAAAATAGAAATAGAATGACCGTGGCACAGGAAAGCAAAGGTAATACCAGTATTAAGAGGTGCCTTGGATGCAATCTCAAAACACCTGGAGCAGCACCTGAACACCATTAAAATTGACAAAATCAACACCAGTCAATTGCAAAAGGCACCTTTACTTAAAACAGCTTACAACCTGTGGACGATACATATAACACCATCAGACATCCACATGTGCAATGAACTGTAATAGAAGTAAGGCTGTTATACCAAACTATCACAGGATTTGAGCCAGAATCAGTTTTTATTAATTCAAGTTGTTTTGGTCAAGACTGACCTGGATTCATCCACTGATGGTATCTAACCCAAAGGAAGATGTACAGTTGCCATATGAGATGATGGAGACACATCTGAGTTCTTATATGTATGAAGACAACCTTGGGCATGAAAAAAATCTACAGAATATTTAGATGAACTTTCAAACAGATCAGGCTTAATGAGTAAAAGTTGAGTAAAGGAGGTGTTAATAGAATCTTTACTAGAAATCTCTTTGGAAGTAGCTTGTTATAAATACTGTTTGTGAACTTGTGTGGCTGACTATTTTGTGCCTTAAATTCTCTAGCACAGGGGTGTCAAGCTTGCGGCCTATGGGCTGGATGAACCACAGGCCGTGCCCAGCCAAACTCGGTGAAGGGGGGAAAAAGTCGCAATACGTCACATGACGACTATGTGACATGACGAGTTTAACACCCATGCTCTAGCATATTAACTCTTGATTGGATCCTATTCTCATTCTCCATTTTTCATTCTTTGGAACTTTTGAATAGAAATCAGATGGTTGGTTTCTGGACCAATTTACTGGCTATCATCCTACATGTCACATTAGCCATAAATAAATCTTTTTGGATTTAGATGTCAGATTGTGTAAGGATGGCCTGACCCACACAATAGGGTAGAATTTTTTCAAGAACTCCTAAGCCTTGCTCTTTAAATTTGCCAAATGCAAAAAATTCTAAAAGTTCAAAAAGCTTGTGAATTCTGATGGATTGTAATAAACAAATTCTCTGATTTTAGATTATTCTGGCAGTTATTTCTTCATTTCTGTCTGCTCTGCGAATGAGATTAATATGGTGACAATAGTAATGTCAGATGATTAAGATGAAACTTTGATGTATTTGTATTTTGCTGTACAGTAAATTATTCAGTGGGCTGAACTTCATAATTAAGCTGATGTTTAAGCTCATAGCTTACCATTATGAATCCAACAATCTAATTATAAATTCTACACTATCTCTGTAAATAGCATGTCCTTGTAAGCTATAATTGTATGTATAAATAACTTGGAATGAATTGCATTGAGCAGAGTGGGACTTATTTCCAAGTCATCACAGTGAGTCT